AATGGCAGCACCTCCCTCCTTAATGGGTTTAAAGGGAAGGGGAGGCTCATAAATGCCAAGTGTCAAGATTGTGTCACTAGTATTCATGAACCAAATGGATTTAAAAAATCAGCAAGTCTATATTACCCTGGATACTACTACAGTCAAAAACATTCCTTGTAAATGTGAGTCTTAAGGAGAGTCACATTTTCAAAAAAAAGCACACTTTACAGTTTACTTGAACAATATATTTTCTTCCAGCTGACAGGATAAGTAATTTCATTTCACTCAATAAAATTCACTGTTTGAAAAGCTTAAGTCAGTCTTCTTGCTTTAGAGGAAGATCTACACATTCTCCATGCAAAATATAACTTCCAAGAAACAAAGATTTTTTTTTTCTGGTATTGGGAAGAAGTGTTTTTATAGGGCTTCTGGCGCCAAAGAAAATTTATGAACCCTAGCAGAAAGGTGAGAGGATATGGGCTATTTCTGAAGTGATAAAACCATTTTATTGTCTATTCGTTTATGTTAGATGCTGTTAACTTTTACCTGATGACAAGGCAGAAGAAAATTCTATGTTTTGCTGTGTACAGTGTGCATTTTCTGCCTCTTAAAAACAAATATACAAAATCCACATGTACCCATTTCAAAAGAAACTGTGCAAGTATTGTCTGCCTTCTGGCTACCAGCCAGGCTACAGAAGTGAGCTACAGCCAGCAAAAATGAACAGGACTGACCAATTATTTTTCCTTCAGTTGTGCTCCTGAGAGTGAGGAGAGATTTCACATGTAAAGATATGCTATAACTATTTCAGGCCTTTCAAACAGTTAAGGAATACTTCCAAATTTTGAAGTAAATCTAATCCAAGGCTCTGCAATTGGACCCTATCTGCTCCAATGCTCAGAAAAGACGACAAAATTTTGAGCAAATTTTACTGTGTCAGCAAAGAAATCTAGTAAACAGTAGTATTTTTAAATTTTTATTTATTTATTCTATCCATCTATCGATCCACCTATCTATTCCACAATCCGTCTGCTAATCTCCCCCCCCCCCCCGTTTAGACAAGATGGGCTTCAAAAAAGAGAGTCCTTTCACAATCCTTGACTTGGTATCAACAGTAAGAAAATACTTAATTTCAAGGAGAGAGTGGAAAAAGTGAAAAACAGGAAGCCTGTAGCTCTAAAGTATTCTACAAGATAAAACCAGATTGCTTCCAACGAAAACTTTAGCACCACAAAGAGCTTTTACATTTTGTTGCACATTGTTATAAAACACACAACTCAAAATATTTTGCATATGTATCAGCTGAAGGAAACATTTTTATTAAAGCAGTGAACAAAATTATCCTCCTAGTGTCCTCTGACACTAAAATTTCCTGCCATGGTGTGCATTTCAAAATGTGACACCGTCAAAAAGAAAAGAAAAAGCCATCACATAATAAGTACACGGCAACTGGCAAGCAAAATATATGAAAGATCTCAATAACCAACTGCTAGTCATAATGTCTGAACAAGTCAACTGCATTTCATTCTTTTAATTTTTTTATATTTTACCTTTCTTCAGTTTCCTTCTGCCAGCTTATGTAATATGAATCATCAGCATCACCAACAAAAGCACTGAAGTCTAACTGCATTAAGCAGTTACCTGTGTCATTGCATATACAGACAGACACCCGCACTCACATTTCTGTGCTCTCTGACGTAAACGTCCCACTACCTATCTGATCAACAGAGCCACAGTTTTACTGATCTTCTCTTTCAGAACAATGGCAGCAAAGTATTTTTGAAGGTAAAAAGGCTACAGGCTTTGTTTCCTAACTAGGAGGAGGACACTGATCAAGAATTCCTTAACACGCTGTCTCAGGATAAGAAATTTTACTACAGAAACAGAAGAAACAAAGAAGCTTGAATATGGCTTGTATGGTTAAAAGAAACAGACATGACAAAAAGTTTCCAGATCTCCTGAATTCTATCAGCATCAACCTGTACTGAAGGCTCCCAGTAATTAGTTTGCTTGGATGGGACTTGTAGTGATCTGGTGCCCGCCCATAGCGCCTGCAGCGAGGGACGAGGGTCACAACTTTGGGAGGAAGAAGGGGTTTAACCTGTAACTCCCACAGACATATTTTAAATGCACACGTGATTCTATGGGTTTGGTAACATCCAGCAGTTTGCTTCCTACAGCAAGAGGTAGGTGCTTTTAATTTGGTTTAGATTATGATGTTGGTGGGACAGCAACCGCCAGTTTCCTAGTCTGCTTTCTAATCTCTGTAATCCACTAAAGCAACATTGGATGGAAATTGCTTTCCTTCAGTTACTTTCTGCTTTAAAGCAGCTCTGCAAGTCCAATTTTTGAATTGTGTGTAATCCAGAACTGCTTACTGCAGCGGACTCTAGTGCAAAGATTCACTGACCTGGAAGCGAATCACCCATCCGCACATGGTCCTTCACCATGTTTTTCTCATCTCAAAATGATAAAAGACAAGTTCTGGAAAAATTTTACTTTCTTTATACAAAATAGGAAAGACTGCCATAAGAATATCTCAGGTGGAGCAACAGGCCAGCAGACAAAACTGTAAATTGTATAGATTTAATCTGCAAGTGTTAATTGCAACAAAAGGTCAGTTTTGGCCCAAAATATCTGCTGCTTTGTGGGATCACGACCCAGCTGGGCAGAGTAACACCTCTTCTTCCCAGCACTTCATGATGCAACAGCAGAGGGTGTTGCAGATCAGGTCTAAGGTGCCCTGAAGAGAATGATGTAGGCTTTCTTACACATCAGTTGGATTTTTTTTTCCTTTCTGGCGGTGTCCGTGAAGTTTTTTGCAAGCATTAGCAGCAACTGAGAAATAACCTGAAAATAATTATCCTTGGAAAAAAACCCCAAATATATGCATGTATGAAAAGAGAAGGAGAGAGTTAACACAAGGAAACTGTTTTCTTTCTGTTCTTCCTTGTGAATAAGTGCATGGGAAAAATTAAACATTTAATCTGCATGGGAAATATTAAAGGAAAGAGCTGAATTTTCAGAGATGGCGTATGACCAGTCTTACATATAAAATCCCAGAGGAAATCACTGTCCTGAAACAGGGTATCAAATCTCCCCCCAATACTGGAATATACACAGAGAAAAGAAAGGTTATGCAGCACTTAACGATTCTGGGAGATTGCTTATTTCATACCTGACAATTTCTAGGGCACCCTGATGAAAATCAAGACCCTACATGCTGCTTGTTAGCTTCCCCTATTGTAAAAGCAGTGAAAATCTATGATGCACAGAACAGCTGAGGAAGTCCTACAGATTCTCAAAAAAAAGTCTGCTTATTACAAAGAGAGCATCCTTCTATTGATCCTCTGCCTCCCTCTCCTCTGACACCCTATGAGAAAACCCTGGAGACCAAAATGTGCAAACCCTTAGGAAGATTTCCACATACTAAATATGTAGGTCTTTTTACTTTACAAAGAAAAGCAAAATAACTGATCCAAAACTGGGCACTGCTCTCATGTCAATACCATACCATGCTCTCCTCATGTCTGTTATTGAGCAAAATAACCCTCTTCACTCTGAGGGTGGTGAGGCCCTGGAACAGGTTGCCCAGAGAAGCTGTGGCTGCCCCCTCCCTGGCAGCGTTCAAGGCCAGGTTGGATGTGGCTCTGAGCAACCTGGTCTGGTGGAAGGAGTCCCTGCCCGTGGCAGGGGGGGGTGGAATGAGATGACCTTTAAAGGTCCCTTCCAACTCAAACCATTCTGTGATTCTAAATAGCTCTGTGGCTGGATAGAGTTTCACAACAAAGTAACACTCACACCTAAGCAGCTGCCTTAACTGCCGTATTGCAAGCAGATAATAACCCCCCGAAATCATAGTCAGAGGAGGAATGCCACACTTTCCATGTAATATCTGTACCATTGAGAAATATGAAACTCTCAAAGATCCATCCTGGAAGCAAGAATTGGTGGACAGTCACCCACAGTTCACTGTTATGGACAGAAACCCATAGCTTCTCCGGAATGACTGATCACTGTGATAGCTACTCTCAGTCAAAAGCCAGCCATTAGCTGCACACATTGCAAACAAAATTCAATCTTTGATCCATGTGTTTTTAATATACACTTTGGTACAAACAACACATTTTGGTGGCTGTAGGCATTTCACACTGACATGAATGCAACCGAGTTACCAAGCAAGAAGCGAAGTTTTACCCCTCCCTGGCTCATAGGACGTTGACGGCCCAGCCCGACGTAAGCAGGAAAACAGTTCTGCCGGAATGACACGCACAGCCCCACAGAAGCATGGTATTTCTTGGCTTAGGCATAGGACGCAGGGCTGTGTTCTAAAGAAGTTAGCAATAAATAAGTGTTGGCAGGGACGGACTGACACAGCAAAGAGAGAACTCTTTCAGATTGACTGAAGGATGCAAATTAAGGTGTAGATTAAGTGCCCTCTGTTTTAGTTTCTCTACCCAAGTCCATCTCAGATTTTTTGCTGAGCATGCTTTGTACTTGAAGTGCTATAAATACATGTTCTTATTTGTACTTTACTTCAACTCAGTTTAACTGGAGGTTAATTTCATCATAACTAGTTAATATCACTGCAACTCTTAGTGAAGGTTGAAGGAAAATAAATGTCCTGGCGCTGGAGATTCCCCAAAGTGTACAGCTCCCCAGACCATTTCCTGAAGGTTTACTTAGGTAGATATTGCTGACACCTGTTTGAGAGTATTTATCTGAGAGCTGACTGTGACAGAACTAGAAGAAGAAAAAGCCACTCTAGTGTTAAATGGGAAGCTTTCTGGCATGTGGCAAGATCAGAGGAGCACCAAGTGCTTGCCCAGGAATGAAAACCACACAGTAACGTTAAGTGTAAAAACAGAATATGTACCCTTTCCCATCAATCAAGTCTGCTCCCTAAAAGGGAGATAAACCTCTCCATTGACTCAGTAAGACATAAACATAACCTTTCAGCAGTCATACAGATTTTGCCAAAGTTGCTATAAGAATAACTTTTTAATGGAAAAAGTTACCTGGGTTTTTGTAGATGCTAAGCACATCCTTGAAATAATGAGGTAAGAATCTTTCTAATAAAAGCAGCACATCCTCTAACTCCTCCAGAATGCCCACAAGCAGAAAATTTTCATTAACGTTCAGCTTTGCTCTTTCAAGGGCCCATTCACCAGGCTCCCTGTATGAAATTAATGGAGGGAGAGAGAGGGAGGAGAGAAAAAAAAAAAAAAAAGAGTTAAAATATGCACTTACTTCAGAAATCCAAGCCAAAACCACAACCGAATCAAAAAGTATTTGGTGCTGTACTTCCAACAGAACATCAACAAACCCCCCCCCCCCCCCCCCCCCAAACCTGAGCGGCTTACTGAGCTTTTCTGCACATCAACAATTGGTTTGTCATGTGAAAACACGGTCATGTTAAAAGGAGGTTAATAACTGCGTGGAAGCACTCTGTTATGAGGACATCTTCCACCGAGCTGTTTATAAGCTCAACCCTGTGACCTCCTGTATCTTGACTCAGAAGCATGACCCATCTCACAGGAGAAACGACCTCCCTGGGTGACGAAAGGTGCTAAGGGGTGGCAGGATCCCTGAACCACATCAGAAGAACTGCTGTGATCAACCACTGCCTGCTGTTACCCAGCGAACAGCACGCAGGAGGCTACCAGCCTGCTTCCCACCTTGCCCTTCATTTTAACTTCTGCCAAAGTCTCCTTACCCTGACCGCCCTGCGGCTTTGCTACAGGATTTGCGTTTGTTTGCTCTGACTGATACTGGTTTGGAAGATCAGTTCAGCGTTATTCTCTGTTGTTGCCCAGTGGGAGAAGCTGGCAGGACACCAGTACATCTTCATGCTTCTCATAGTTTCATGGAAGCACAGTTTGGTTAGACAAGGGTATGAATCCTAAATCCCTTAGACTAACTCATATTAATTATGTCCTGGGAGTAGCAGTCAGCATCCACATTGAAAGGGGATACAATGCCCTCTTTAACACTAGTTAAATGCGCAACCATAAGCATTTGCGAATCAGGCCAAAATACATTAAGAAAAATATGTGTAATGAAGTCATGAATCTGTTTTGTTTCTTAAGCATAACTTCACTTATGCCAAAAAACTAAAGCAGGATTTTACAACAAAGATACTTAGAAATTGAGATCTAAGAAGGAACACATTTTCACTTGTTATACTGCTACAAAAAAGTATGGTTTTTGAAAGAAATTTTTGAAAACCTGCAGCTGTTCCACTAAGGAGAAGCAGTAACAATAAATAAATAGAACACCTCAAAGCTGAACAAATCTAATAAAGAACATGCTGTGACCAACAATACTAAAGTATTTAAAAACAAGAATGTATTTATGCAATAGTATGTGAATAATTTTAAAGTTTACTATGCAGTATCAGTAATACAGCAATATGAGAACGGCATAAATAGACACACTAAAAATGAGCTAGCTCAATTACAGCAGTAGAAGGCTGCACTTTAGATAGTTTAAGTATGATTGCTATTTCTTACACAGACATAGAAACCTGGAATTTGTCATACATAGACCTGCTACAAGCATCTGAGCAGAGCTAAAACATGTATTACAAAATTACAGTGCAGGCAAAATGAGTAACGAGCACATATGGTCACTGCCATTCTCACCTTGCTAACCCAGAAAAAGAAATTCCACATAAATACATCCAGATATGATGAATTATTCATGTATTAAATCAAGAAAAAGGAATAGTACTGCATTACCCTCCTTACTCCAAAATACACGCATGCAGTTACCACATACAGCGCTACATTGTACTTTCACTTTTTTCTTTTACTTCAGATAACTGTTGCCTCTTTATTACCAGTTTCTGTCAAAACACTAGCAATAGCTACTGCTGAATAAATTGGGATTGCATATATTTACCTGCATCTTGGATGCTGTCCACAGAAATATGGTATGATGTAAAATAACCTGGGATTGGAACATTCAGGGTAGTTCTCAAGGATACATACATTAATGTCCTGCGGGGAAGGAAAGATGAAGAAAAAAAAAGAAAGAGAGAGGTTGAACACTGGATTTTCCTTTCTCTAGTAACAAGTGTTTTCTTCATCTCAATACTTTCTACAGCATCTCAGAGTCAAAGAATTGTGCTGAGGCTATGTCAAATACCTTAAAAGTCATCTACCGGTCAATTTATTTACTTCTAAATATCATTAGAAACTTTCGGGGAGGGGGGAAGTGATTTTGTCCTAGAATGCAAAGAACACATTTTTCTTTTTGCTGCAAATAACACAATTATTATATTGAGATTACTGCATGACTCAAAGCAGGACACATGGATTAACTTTCATATTGAGTTATATTTAAAATATTCAGGAAATTTTTTTCAGACTCTTCTTTCTTCTAAATACACCCTGGGGGAAACCTGAAGTAGCCAGAATAAATCAAATTGAGACAACATTTATTTCCTTTTTTTTTTTTTTTCATTCTGCTTCATTCAATGACTGGAATGAACAAACATCAGCTGTAACTCGCACAGCTTGCTCTTGATATAAAAACATACATCACTTTTGATTACAATTCTGTACATTCCTCAGATGTTCAGAATTGAGTCTGTTGTGTAAACCCTCACTGAGAAAAGGGCTTATTAGAAAGTGTTTATCATCCTCCTGATTTATCGTTCATTTAATTAGGAGCTATTTATCACTTGTCAAAGACTACGCATAGCTACTGAACCCTGAGGAACTGTATTCCATTTCTTGCTTTACTCTAGCGCAATAATAAACGTACCTGCACCTGGGACTGAATTTCAGCATTCCTATCTAGCCTAAGAGAGTCTCATTCTGCAGGCTGACCCACCGACTCCAGAGACATGTCGAGAGAGAATAAAAGGGTAAGACAACACAAGAAAAGATGAAAGGACCTCATCTTTGCAAAGCCAGTCTTCATTCTTAGTTAAATACGCATGCTTTGATCAGGCAATGGGCTTGATACACACCAATATCAAACCAACGACTAACCAAATCTATACCTCATCAAGTAAACGAAACATGATAGAGAATGCGTCAGAGGGCAACACGTGCCCCGTGAGACAGCAGTGCTTGGCAGCGTGGGAGGTATGGAGAGCATCCCCTGCTCTCCCAGAGCAGCCAGCACAGCCCTCCTGCC